TGGGGGGGGGGGTCAAACAATGAGAGCTATATCTGAGTGAGGTTTCCCCAAAGACATTTCCTGACCGCTTTTAAATCACATCTCATGAGATCGCAGAGGTTTCAGGAACAGTTTAACAAATCACTGGGACTCGTCTTCACTTGGATTCCCTGTTCGATTATTAGAAACTTTGATTAAGGCTGAAAACAAACAAACAGTCTTTACTTCAGAAAAGTTTCGCCCCGCTCCAATTTACCGTATAAAACCGTAGCCACTAAAAACAACTAAAGCCAACGCTGAGGTGCTCATTTTAAAAACAGACTTTTTAAGTCTCAAATATTGTTGCCGAGTAAAAATCTTCAATTGATACAAAACTATTCTTTATTACTGAATGTTTCTGTGCAAAAACAGACATTACTAACATAAGTTCTGCACAGAAAACACATTTAAAACGGCAATTAAAGTCTTAGCAGTTCTTAAAGGAATGCATGTCACTCGCCGCCTTACATGCCAGACTTTTAGACTGTTATACGTGTTTTAGTCAAACCAAACGATATGCATGATCTCTCCAATACTGCAAGATCTTGTGTGAGCTGTAAGCGTTTGGAGTATATTTTGAGGGTGACTCTCAGCTACTACCATACCAAATTTTAGCTCATTAGCTGTAAAATCAACAGAGTTAGAGTCATTTTTGTGTTTTCTAAGACCAGTTGCCTGTGGCGGCCAACTTAAATTGGGTTGACTCCAAAAGTAAAACAGCTGTAAATGCACATCCAATAGTTACATCTTGAGAGTTTCATTAAAGTCAATCCAGTGGTTCGAGAGATATTTTGCTAACAGACAAACAGGGTTGACTCCAGCAGTTCATGCTAAGATTTAAGGGAATGATATGGTGTGACGTGTTGTGCTCAAAGTACATGTTGGGGATGACTCTCAGGCACAACCACACCAAATTTCTGCTCAATATCTCTAAGATCCACTGAGTTAGAAACATTTTGTGTTTTCTAAGATCAGCTGGCTGTGGCGGCCATCATAAATTGGGTTGACCCCAAAAGTAAAACAGTTGTAAATGCACATCCTGTAAGTACATCCTCAGAGTTTCATTGAAGTCAATCCAGTGGTTAGAGAGATATTTTGCTAACAGACAAACAGGGTGCCACCAGCAGTTGACGCTAAAATTCAAGGGAACGATATGGTGTGATGGGTTGCACTCGATGTATGTGTTGAGGATGACTCTCAGACACAACCACACCAAATGTCTGCTCAATATCTGTAAGATCCACCGAGTTGGAGACATTTTGTGGTTTTTAGTATCATTTGGCTGTGGCGGCCATCTTGAACTGGTTTAACTTGAAAAGGTAAATCAGCTGTAGTTGCATGTAAAACTATTGCTTTCATGCAGTTTTAACAGAATCCACCCGGTGGTGCATGAGATATTTTGCTGACAGACACTGACCTTCCAGCCTGCAGAGCTGTTGCTGTCTCCCTTGTCCTTGAAGTAAGGCACGTTCTTCACCATCCAGTCGTAGATCTGGGACAGGGTCAGCCTCCTCTCAGGTGAGCTGTCGATGGCCTTGGTGATCAGGTCTGCGTAGGACATGTTCCCCCAGGCGTTCCGGCGGGACGAGCTGATCTTCCTCTGCCCGGACAGAGCCTGGACCCCTGAGGGAGACACCTGCTGCTGGGGGAGGTGAGGAGGAGGATGGAGGTGATGAGGGTGCAGGTGCGCGCAGGTCTGACTCTGGGAAAAGGGCGGTGTCTGCTCGGCGTACTCCTCCTCCAACAAGCCGAGCCTGTGGATGAAGTCGGTGTTTCCTCCCGCCGGCGCCGGGGAAGGCGCGTCGGAGCCGGCGGGGTCGAGCTCCGGCCGGGGCAGCGGCCAGGTGCAGGAGCGCGGCCGGGAGAGAGGCTCGAAGTCCGGGTCGATGTCCACAGGCGGTCCCTCGGCCATGTCTGGGTCGCACCGGCGCCAAACTTTCTTTACATAGATAAACTCTCACAAAACAAAAACTGAATATTTACGCTAATAAACACAGAGAACTTTGTAAAAGAGTAGCGTTGAAATAAATAAGAAGTCACCACAGAGGAGGAGCCGGTCCAGAAGTTCTCACCGTGAAGCATCAACACATCTGAACCCTGATGAACCTGGAGCCTGAGCCCCGGTGCTGCCTTCAAGGACCGCTCAGTCTTTACAGTTTCACTGGTTCAAACCTGAAGCGTCCGAAGCTACGGTGCTGCCTTCACGGACCGCTCAGTCTTTATAAATTTAGATTCAAACCTGGAGCCTGAAGCCTCTGTGCTGCCTTCACGTACCGCTCAGTTTTTACAGTTTCACTGATTCAAATCTGAAACATCGGAAGCCTCGGTGCTGCCTTCACGTACAGCTCAGTCTTTACAGTTTCACTCATTCAAATCTGAAACATCGGAAGCCTCGGTGCTACCTTCACGTACAGCTCAGTCTTTACAGTTTCACTGATTCAAATCTGAAACATCCGAAGCCACTGTGCCTCCTTCACGGACCGCTCAGTCTTTATAGATTTACATTCAAACCCGGAGCCTGAAGCCGCTGTGCTGCCTTCACGGACCGCTCAGTCTTTATAGATTTACATTCAAACCCGGAG